CGAACCATACTTAATTCCAGTTCCAGGGGAATCCATGCCCTCTTCTGACCTCCGTGGCATTGCATGACACATGTGCACTCACATACATGAAGGCAATACACTCATACACATAAAATAACTTTTTAAAAAAAATTTTAAATAATAAATAAAATACATATTTTTTAAAGTTACAGAACTGGGCTGGGGAGATAGCTTACCTGGTAAAATGTTCACCGTGGAAGCACAAGGCCCTGAATTCAATCCCCAATACCCATTAAAAAAAAAAAAAAATGGACAGGATAAAGCACACTTGAAATCAGCACCAGGGAGGCAGAGACAGGAGGATCCCTGGGACTTGATGGCCTGTCAGAGTAGCTGAGTCTGAGAATTCCAGGTTTAATGAGAATGTTTCAAAAAGTAAGGTAGGGGCTGGAGGAGAGGGCTCAGCAGTTAAGAGCACTGGCTGCTCTTGCAGAGCACCTGGGTTTGGTTCCCAGTACCAGGAGAATCTGACACCCTCTTCTCACCTCTGTGGGCATTGTGTGACATGGGTGTACTTACACACATACATGCAATATACTCACACACAAAAATAAAAATAATAAAGTATTTTTTAAGTAAGGTGGAAAGCAATTGAAGAAAACACCTGCTATTGATCTCTGGCCTCCACATGAGTACATATGCACCCACACGTGTGCACACACAATGCACGGACAGACACAATCACAACTTACTAAATATGATAATTAGATATGCTAGAAAAAAAGTCTTACCAAAATCATCTTCAACTCCATCATGAAGCTCATTAGATCCAGAGACTGCTGCATTCTCTATGTAAAACATTTTCAGTTAGTACCAGTGAAATGAATGTTACACTCACTGAAACTGAAATAAAATATAAATCGAAAAAAAATGCAAAGAATGTATTAGCTACAGCTACACCCTAAAGGTACTAATTAGCCAAGCATTGTTCACTGTCCCTTTAATTCCTACCAATTTCATTTTGGAAGAGTAACGGAAACCCTCAAATCTGTTCTGGTGTAATGTGCTGAGCTGTAGAGGAGCTCCACTTAAACCCGCAGTATTTACCATGGTAAGTTCTCCAGTACTTACCATGCACACCAGGCTTAAGAAATGAGGAAATCACTATTTTTTTCAAAAAAGGAGAAGGGGAAGGGGGAAACAGATGTGACTAGAAAGATGAACCTAAAATATAAAATCTATACATTTTTTAACCTAGTTACTGAATTAACTGGATTGATCAATAATGTGGTATACTATCTTCCTTGACCTTTAAGACCAT